GGCGAAGGCTGATCTACACAGGAGGCAGCAGCCTGCTCTAGAGCAGGAAGGGTGGGAAGCGGGATTTTCATCTCACGTGGACACTACATAGCAAAGGACCACAAAGCACACACTGGCGCCCAACCCGAAACTTCAAGTGACCGACGGAAGATGGACCTCGGACGGCAGGCTGACACCTGGGCCGACACTGGCCAGTCAACGGGGGCAGAGGGGTGGGTTATCAGAGGATTGAATCCACGACTGCGAGCAAAATGCTCGGGGCCTCCGAGAGCTCTTCGTCCCAGGCTCTGACCAGATGCTAAATGTGGATGAGGTTGGAGGAACCACCCTCCTCCTCATGGAAATCTCCCTGAACAAAGTGAGCACCTCGAGGGCCACGTGCTCAGCTGCAGCCCCGAGGTCTGCGGTGCCCAGAGCAGCGCCGTGGGAGGGCTGAGGGCATGGGGCTGCTCTTCCACTCAGCAGGCACGGCCCCTGGTGGGCCACGCGGGCCACACGGGCAGCCTCCCAGGGCCTCCCCACTCCCCCGGGTTTATGTTTGCGGGGCAGGCAGGCGCTGATCACGTGGGCCTGCCACCCCGGCCAGCTCCCCCTCGTGTCACCACTGGCCTTTCCTGTGACCTGCTCGTTCTCTGACACGGACACGCTGCCCGGCAGCTTCTCTACCAATGGACTGAGGTCCGCAGGGCCCGTCTCCTAAGGATAAAAATAGAGCTGGTAAAGCTGATGCAAAAGCTGCTCCTGCGAGGTTGCATGTATTTCTGTGGAGGGGGAAAAAACCTCGTTTCTGAAAACTAACTTGTAGGAAGCTGCCCCTTGAGGCTCTGCAGAAGCGTCTCCCTCCCTTTCTCAGTCACACCGTCCCCAGCTCTCTGTTACAAATGGGGAGGAGAAAGCCCCCAGACCGGGGAGACCAAGCCCTGTGTTCCGGAACAGCGGCCCTCCAGGGAGTATTGTGAAACAGCGCCCGCTGGCAGACAGCTTGGGTTGTGCTGCTCCGCGGGAGGCCCAGGACTGGGAAGAAAGCATTGTCTGCAGAGGAATGAGAAGCCGGGCAGGTCAACAGGACTGTTCAAACTTGTGGTTAACAGAAAACTTTGCTCCCGGAGCAAAATCAGAATCTAGCTTACAGCAACCCG